CACCTGTCAACTCTCTTTCTTTGACTATGTTCTTCAATCTAGGGACCATGGTTTTGCTCTTTACACAGTATATTTCGATTTCACTAAGGCTTTTGACCGTGTTGACCATGCTTTTCTTCTCTTGAAATTGTCCTTTTTTGGAATAGGTGGCAAACTTTTGAAATTTATGTCCTCTTATTTGGGCACTCGCACACAACGAGTTAAGATTTCCAGTACCATCTCCAAATCCACACGTGTGAGGAGTGGAGTCATTCAGGGTAGTGTACTCGGCCCGCTTTTATTTTGCCTTTTCGTTAATGATGTACCCGATTTATTTCATAATGGTAGGCCTTTCATGTATGCCGAGGATCTTAGAGTTGTATATCGATATAAGCCGGCAGATCATGACATCGTGCTTGAACTCCTAAAGAGCGATCTACGGGCTTTCGCCCAGTGGTGCCGCACATGGCGCCTCTCTCTTTCTTGGCATAAGTGCTCAGTCATGGTGGTTGGCGACGACCGCCAACCTCAACTAAGTATTGAAGGTCACGCCATAAATGTTCCTGGGGTTATTAAGGATTTGGGCGTATCATACTCCAAGAGTCTCAATCTCTCGGAGCACTGTGCCTTGATAGTCTCCAAAGCACGTAGAACGACCGGGTTTATCCTCCGAAATTTTAAAACTAGGGACATTAGAATGCGCCTTTTCAACATGTACGTTAGACCAGGTCTGGAATACTGTTCGTTTTCATCTAGCCTCATGCGTGCCACTGAGCGGAAGAAAATGGAATCTGTTCAAAACTTTTTTACCAAAAGACTTTTAACCCCGGAACACCAACATTTGTCTACCGAGAACGTAGCCGGCTTACAGGCCTCGATCCTTTATGGTTCCGTAGATTACAAAAGGGACTATTTTTGCTATTAAAACTCTTATATAATCACACATTTAACCCACTCACCTCTTTAAACCATCATATCCACCCACGACGTAACAGTCACCGTGAGGTCTTTTTATTTCTGCCTCTGACACGTACTGTTAAATATCGTCGGTTCTTTTCTGTAAATGCAATTGTTATTTGGAATAAACTACTCATGAGTGTGAAAACTCTGCAAAATTATCCCTTATTTAAGAGGACTATTACTCGATTTTTTGCATTCAGAAAAGCTCCCACAAATTTTGGGTGCTGAAAACTCTGATCGACTGTACCGTAGCGATGGCGTTTGTGGTCTCTAAACACTATGGCCGGTCTCACCAGCTGTTCCTCAACGCCTCTACTTTGGCTATCCCCAGCTTCATGAAAGGAATTTGACGTCCGATTATCTCCGATACCGTGCAACCTCCCCCCTTCTTGACGGTCGATATTCTGCCAATACAAGCGAAAAGACGAGTCCCAGGAAGCAGTCTTGAAGAAGAAGAAGACACGATCGCCGGGACAAGAGCTTTATTAGCCTGACGTTTCGGATTCCTACTCGAATCCATCATCAGAGACATAAGCAGATAAGGGTGGTTCATGCACATGTGGCTGCAGTATTTATAGGATGCAGTAGCCATGCCACCGCATACCTATGAATGTTCACGGCTCCCTCCCCTTCATCAGGGATCGTTGCACTGGCGTGATGGTCGATATTCGCGTCGTTAATTGCTGCAATTTCATCACGTGCGTTGGATGTTGGTGTGATGATTGCTCGACCATCTGACGCGCTGACCCGGGTGTTGGGAAGAGTGTTCATCAGGGCGCTCCCCGCGTGGCCAATTTCTCCGCCTAGACGAAGTCTCAGCACGCTGTATTGAATGGGAAGATCATTGCACTTGTTAATAGACTGGGGGCCAGTGAACCATGACTCAAGCAGCTCCCGGCTCACGCGGTTGTCACCTCTTGCGAGAATTTCGGCCTCGTCAAATTTGAATGTGTGGCCGGAACCCGTCGAATGAGCCGCAACTTGAGAGCTGGCGTCATTTCTCCGCACTGCTGCAGCGTGTTCTGCCATTCGCGTTCGGAGCTGTCTTCCGGTTTCTCCGACGTAGTTGCTTTGTCCGCAACTGCACCAGATCCGATAGACGACTCCAGACGTTTCTTGCCGTGGCAGTGGGTCTTTTGGTTTCATCAGTTGACGCCTGATGGTTGCCTCTGGCCTGTGTGCAACTCCAACCCCCAGCGGTGCGAGAAGGCGGCCAACAGCTTCCGAAACGTTCTTCACATATGGAAGCGCTCGCCAAACTTTGGTGTCCCTGCGGTTAGGCCTTTCGTCCATTTTGCGTATGCATCGGTTGACAAAGTTGCTCGGGTAGCCATTGGCTTTGAATACCCGTCGGAGGTAATGGCTACCCGAGCAACTTTGTCAACCGATGCATACGCAAAATGGACGAAAGGCCTAACCGCAGGGACACCAAAGTTTGGCGAGCGCTTCCATATGTGAAGAACGTTTCGGAAGCTGTTGGCCGCCTTCTCGCACCGCTGGGGGTTGGAGTTGCACACAGGCCAGAGGCAACCATCAGGCGTCAACTGATGAAACCAAAAGACCCACTGCCACGGCAAGAAACGTCTGGAGTCGTCTATCGGATCTGGTGCAGTTGCGGACAAAGCAACTACGTCGGAGAAACCGGAAGACAGCTCCGAACGCGAATGGCAGAACACGCTGCAGCAGTGCGGAGAAATGACGCCAGCTCTCAAGTTGCGGCTCATTCGACGGGTTCCGGCCACACATTCAAATTTGACGAGGCCGAAATTCTCGCAAGAGGTGACAACCGCGTGAGCCGGGAGCTGCTTGAGTCATGGTTCACTGGCCCCCAGTCTATTAACAAGTGCAATGATCTTCCCATTCAATACAGCGTGCTGAGACTTCGTCTAGGCGGAGAAATTGGCCACGCGGGGAGCGCCCTGATGAACACTCTTCCAAACACCCGGGTCAGCGCGTCAGATGGTCGAGCAATCATCACACCAACATCCAACGCACGTGATGAAATTGCAGCAATTAACGACGCGAATATCGACCATCACGCCAGTGCAACGATCCCTGATGAAGGGGAGGGAGCCGTGAACATTCATAGGTATGCGGTGGCATGGCTACGGCATCCTATAAATACTGCAGCCACATGTGCATGAACCACCCTTATCTGCTTATGTCTCTGATGATGGATTCGAGTAGGAATCCGAAAAGTCAGGCTAATAAAGCTCTTGTCCCGGCGATCGTGTCTTCTTCTTCTTCAAGGTCGATATTCTACCACCGCCGGCAGTTTTTTCTCCTGAGCCCTCTAAACCATAAAAACCACTATCAACTATATTTTTATCCCTTTAGCTCAGGAGTTTTTTTCACTGCTGGTCGGATTTATATTTAATCGCTTCCGTTGACAATGCCTGTAAACTGGCATTAAATAAAATTATTTATTTATTTAAAAGCTCGACCGCTCCGCTTCCGACCATTCAGGCATGAACTATAACCTTTTCTCTTTGGGACGTGACTGTAGCGATTCGATGTTTTCGTCAACCTCTTAGCCCTGGACCTGATGGTGTCCCAGTAAGCATTATAAAAACGGGCGTAAATGTAATTTTCCAGGCCGCCTTTGCAAGATACTTAATCTCACTCTTGAAAATGAAACCTCCCCTACTTTGTGGAAGGGATCACGCATTTTGCCCATTCCTTAGCATGTTCAATCTACATCATTTGATGACTTTCGGCCTATGAACATCCTTCCGACAGTCTCAAAGATCTTAGAGACATTGATCAAAGATAATATGATGTGTCACTTCACAGGAAATAACGCATTGAGCGCTGCACAGTATGGCTTCCACAAAGTTCGGTCTTGTGACACCTGCCAGCTCTCTTTCTTTGCTCATGGTCCACAATCTAGGGACAATCCTTTTGCACTTTAAACAGTCTATCTCGACTTCACTGAAGCTCTTGATCGTGTTGACCAAGCCCTTCTTCTCTTTAAACTTTCCTTTTTCGGAAAAGGTGGTGAAATTCCGAATTTGATATCCTCTTACCTAGGCGCTCGCATACAACGGGTTAAGATATCCAATGCTATCTCCAACCTCACATGCGTGAGGTGTTCAGTCATTCATGGTAGTGTACTTGGCCCGCTATTATTTTGCCTTTTTTTCAACGACGTGCCAGATTTACTTCAGAATGGTAAAACCTTCATGTATGCCGATGATCTGAAAGTTGCATGTAGATATAAGTCATCTCCTTGTCGGAACTGTGGCGCGTGGCATTTCCACCGGGATCGCACTTTCCGCTAACATCGCTACCAAAGCTGTAATCAGATGGGACACCTTGATGGGTTCTGCAAATCAATACCAACTTCCGAAGCAATTCAGCCCTCCACTTCTAGTTCCAGGCACCGTTTTCGGTCAAAACGCAAGCCTAAACCACAGTCCGTTGGTAATTCTCTCAGTTTCTTGTCCACTTTACAGCTCAGTGTGGCTGGTCACAGAAAGTTTTTTGACGTTTTCCTAAATGGCCATGCAGTTCACCTACAGTTGGACACTGTTTCAGACATCAACATCATCTCTGAGAGACTCTGCCAGTCCATCGGCAGCCCCATGATGCAGCAGGCTTCCGAGTCCGCCAAAAGTGCGTGTGGTGGTCTCGTACAGCTAATTGGGCAACTGCAATGCTGTGTGTCGTTCCGCGGTACCAAAATCACTGTGATCTGCTACATCACCAAATCCGACCTCAGCCCACTTTGTCTCGACTGGATTGAACAACTCGGTTTGGCCGATATGCAGACCAGCGTTGTTTGCGGTCAGGTGCGGATTTCCGCTGTGCTCGCAGACCAAGCCAAGGACATTCTCTAGCGGTTTGCTCCAGCGTTCCAAGACGGTCTGAGTCGTTACACATACACTCAAGCCGTGCTACATCTTTCTCCGGTCAACCAATCTTCCGTCCAAAGCGACCAGTCCCATGTGCAGCCCTACCACTTGTCGAGGATGAACTGAGGCGTTTGGAGGAACTGAGAGTTCTCATTCCTGTATCTTACTCCGCCTGGGCCGCTCCACTCGTTGTGGTTAAGAAGCTCAATGGTTCAGTCCGCATTTGTGCTGACTTCTCCACCGGTTTCAATGCCGCGCTTAAGCCGAACTGCCATCCACTGCCACTTCTGGCTGATTTTTTTCGCCCTGCTGAATGGTGGCACTTGCTTTGCCAAGTTTGATCTCGCTGAGGCGTATTTGCAGATCGAGATCACCCCAGAGTCGCGCGAATTGTTGACCATCAACACCCACCGCGGTCTGTTCCAATATACCAGGCTGCCCTTTGGTGTCAAGACAGCCCCGGCCCTATTCCAACAAACGATGAACGCAATGCTCTCCGGCATTCCTGGCACAGCTGGGTACCTGGACGACATCATCATCGTGGGTCGCTCCCCTGCCGAGCTGCAACACCGAGTGTGCGCAGTACTCGAACGCGTGCAGGAATATGGCTTTCGCCTACGAGCCGACAAGTGCCAATTCTTCCTCGACTCCATCAAGTACCTTGGATTCGTTTTTGACGTTATCGGTCGCCATCAACATCCTGAAAACATTCGGGCCATTCAACGGATGTCTGCGCTCGAGAATGTACCGCAATTTTGTTCGTTCCTTGGCCTGATCAGCTACTATAGCGCCTTCCTACCGTCACTGCATGACGTACGGGCCCCGCCCAACCGTCTGTTGAAGAAGGATGCTCCCTGGTGCTGGTCCTCCGACTACGAAAAGGCCTTTGCCCAGCTAAAGTCGATGCTGAGTTCAGATCTGCTGCTCACGCATTACGACCCGACGCTGCCGATAGTTTTTGCTGCAGATGCTTCCAACCGCGGAGTTGGTGCCGTCATCTTCCATACTTTTCCTGACGGGTCTGAAAAGGCGATCATGCATGCATCTCGCACGCTAACTCCTGCGGAGAAGAACTATGGGCAGATAGAGAAACAGACTCTAGCCCTCTTGTTTGCCGTCAAGAAGTTTCACAAGCTGTTGTGCGGTCGCCCCTTCACGTTGTGGACGGCTCACAAACCCTTGCTAACAATCCTCGGTTCGAAGAAGGACATTCCTGTCTATTTAGCAAGCCGAATTCAGCGATGGGCCACCATCCTTCTTGGCTACGATTTCGACATTCGCTACTGTCGTACTACAGACTTTGGTCAGGCTGACGCCCTTTCTTGCCTCATCAGCAATCAGCAGGAACCGGAGGAAGATACCGTGATTGCCGCTATTTCGATTGAGGACGATGTGCGTCGTCAGCTATCAGACGCCATACGAGGTAGCCCTGTTACTGCCGTGGACATTCGACGTGTTACTGAACCGGATCCTGTCCTCCGTCAGGCCATCATCTACGTGCAGACCTGCTGGCCAATCACTGCACTCGCTGACGATCTTCGCCAGGTTTTACTGCGCCGAGCATCGCTATCTGTGGTTGACTCCTGCCTCATGTTTACGGACCGTGTGGTGATCCTTTTTTCCCTCCGACCCACTGTACTACGCCAGTTCCTTGCCGCTCACCTGGTACCAGCCGAATGAAGTCTATTGCTCGCAGTTTTGCTTACTGGTCGGGTATCGACGGCGACATCGACGACCTGGTTCATCGCTGTTCTCGATGTCAACAAGTTGCCCAGATGCCACCTCGTCAACCTCCAATACCCTGGCAACCACCAGAGAGGCCTTGGTCACGCGTGCATATCGACTTCGCTGGCCCACTTAATGGAGTCTCCTACCGATTCTTGGCTGACGCCTGCTCGGATTGGCTCGAGATGGCTCCGCTGAATCCAGCGACCGCATCCGCCACTATCGCCCTCCTACGACACATGTTTAGCCAACATGGTTTACCGGAAGTCCTGGTTTCAGATAATCGCTCTCAGTTTACTTTGTATAACTTAAACCCAGGTCTTTTATGGTAAAGCATTCTGAGATTGGGTTATTTAAAAAAATTGTGGCACCAGGAAGTTTGGCAGGACCAAATGCCTTGAAAATAAATTTGGATGGTGAAAACTCCATCTGCCATGTTGAACTCCATCTGCTTAAGCGTAGTAAACCGGCATTAATTTTATCCACAAAATGTTTGCGGTGTCCTTAGAATATGAGTGAACACACTTGAGGTTATCGGCATAAATAAAAGTTTGGAAATTTCCAAGTTCAGTCGAAATATAATTGATATAAAGAAGGAGGAGTAGCGGACCCATAACCGTGCCTTGAAGTACTCCACTCGTGATCGAGTGAGGTGTCAAGTAGCTATTACCGACCATGACTTTCTGATATCGGTCAGATAGATAGGACCGGATGAAGTCGAGTAGAGGCGGCCGGATGCCAAGAGCTTCCAAGTTTATTAAAAGACGTGTATGCGGCACCTTGTCGAAGGCTGTGCTAGGATCAAAGTAGATAACTACCACTAACTGCTGTTTATTACGAAGAGAAGTGATTAGATTAATACATGCCAAGGGACAAATTTCGCAGGATCGTTCGGATAAAAATCCATGCCGACTAGAGCTCAGAAGCCGATTGACTAGACAGAAGTCAAGAATTTCACTAAAAATTATCCTCTCAAGAAGCCTTGCCAGAGACGGCGTTTTGTGCACGCCTATATAGTTGTTAACATCAGACCGAGATCCAGACTTGAAGACGGAAATGATAATTGACGTTTTTATGTTTCAGGAAAGAATCCTTTTGAAATATAAACAGAGAATAAATGACTAAGCAATAGGGGAAGGTCGGATGCTTGTTTAATAAACGAATTTGAAATGCCGTTCCTGAGCAGTGTGAGGGTTTCAAACGACTTATTTGTTTCTTAATGAGGTCTGAGGAGACATGGATTTTACTCAGTGTCCTATCTGAAAGTGAGCGAAAGAAAGGGACTAGTTCGGATTCAGTATTAAGATGTTTTTCTAAGAAAGCACTAAACAACTCCACCTTGTCAGTGTCATCGATGAGGAAGATTTTGTTGTCGTTTAGCATGGGTGGAAGTTCGTGACCACGCTTAGAGGAGGACCAATGACGGAAAAAGTTAGCGACGGATTTGTTAGGATTCGTATCACGAAGAGCAGGTGATTCTCTTTGCCTGTCGCGCTCTCGGCGCATCCTTTGGGCCATTTCAAAAATGCCTGGGATTCTAAGATGAACGGATAGTGAAATAACGGAAGGGTAACGCAGCTGCCGTCTCAATTTTTTAGTCTGCTGTGAAGAAAATGAGGAACAAGGGAATCTGAAGAATTAGGCTTGAGATATCTAGGGAGCACAAACTGTAGGATGTCCTTGGAAACATTGGACATGGCATCACGAAGAATGCTTGCATCGCTACAGGAGAGAAAGCCACAACAATCCAATGGCCCAATTTAGTTATTTATGAAGTCCTTATCTACGCAGTCGTAGTTTAGGTAAGTCCGAACCCTGCTAGACTTTTTTGACAAGGTAAGCGGTAAGCAACAATGAATTGATACGTGGTAACTATCAAAGAGGTCCTTTTTGAAAGCAACAAAGAGAAAAGCAAAGTCATTGGTAAAGATTAGATCTAAATGTGATTATCTCTTGTTGAAGGGTGCATCAGTTGGAACCAGTTAGAAAAGTTGACAATATCTTGGAAGGGCTCAGTTCAGTTCAGTTTATTGAGGGAAATAGGCGTAAGCCTTTCAGTACCCTATTTGCAACGTAAAAAATGTGTGGTATACAGATAAATGTTCTGGGCTGAAATAGTTCAAACACGCCCATAATTTAGGACAAAAGAGGACGAGTTATAGAGAGCGAGCTCTACTTCTCATCGCTCTTGGTCATTTTGGAACATAATGATGTCAAGATTCTTGTTAAAACTTTCTATGGATGGTGACATCACAACATCTGCGGGAAGGGCATTCCATGGTTTGACCACTCGAACAGAGAAGGAGAACTTCCGTACATCCAACCTTGCATGCTGAGTGCGCAGTTTTAACGAGTGACCTCGGAGGTTGGTCGTGGTAGCAGATTCAAAAAAAGTCCTCGAAGGCCAGACTGCAATCCAACTCCTTAAAAATGCGGAAGGCTTGCAAGAGATCCCCGCGAAGTTGCCTATAACTCAAAGGAAAGAGGTTCAGATTTACTACGCGGATTGCATAAGGAAAGGAGCTTTGACCCCTAACCATATTCGTGGCTCTCCTCTGGACTCTTTCGAGGCAGATTTGATCTTCAACCGCCCACGGCCTCCAGGCTTGTATGCCGTACTCTAAATGCGGCCGGACGAATGTTCCGAACGTCTTCGAGAAAGCATCTTCGTCAAAGTCCATGAACGCACGCTTGATGGAGTACAGTACGGACAATGCGGTTTTTGCCCCTCTTGAACAGTGAGCGGATGGCTTTAGGGAACTGGTCGTCAGCACACCGAGGTCCTTTTGGGCTTCGACCTCTTTTAAGGCTGCTCCGCCCAGCAAGTAGTGTATTGTGCTGGCAGATCTGACTGTGTTGCAAAGGCAAAGTATGCTACATTTGGCAACGTTGAACCGCAGGAGCCAACGGTTTGACCACTTCTCCAACCGATTCAGGTTCATCTGTAGTCTGTCTTCGTCGGCAGGACCCCGAATTACACTCCATTTCTTCGTGTCATCGGCAACCATTGCTACTTCGCAATCATCAGTACGCCAGTGCCGTCCTGCAGGATGGGGAAATATTCACCGTTAAAAAAGCTTTCCGACTAGGCAGAGCGGACCCAAATCGTGACCTAAAAACATCCCCAAGACCCCTGAAAGTTATTTTGGAAAACGAAGTCAAAGCAGCGCTTTTGTTAGAAAGTAGAGCCACCTTACGCAACTCGCACAAGGAAGTGTTTTTTCAACCAGACTACGAACCGAGGGATAGACTGAAAATGAGAGAACTGAGATCAGAATTGAAGGAGAGAATTGGCCGAGGAGAGAAAGGGCTGAAGATCAAAAATGGACAAATAGTCCAGACAAAGGGATCTTTTCTGTGGTCAGAACCCGTCACAATGAAGGCCGAGCCTTTCCAACGAATCAGTCATTGAAGGTTATATCCGCAAATGTGCAAAGCCACTTCAACAAACTAGACGAACTCAGAGAATTAGTTGATGAAATTAAGCCAGACATTATGGCATTCACAGAAACGTGGCTTACTGAAGATATCTCAGATTCCGAAATATCAATTAGAGGATATCAGCAATTCAGGAGAGATAGACTAAGCCGAGGAGGAGGAGTCATAATTTATGTCACTTGCAAGCTAAGCGCTATGGCTGATGTACATAGACCGGTACGGGATGTGGAACTGCTAAGCGTTAACATATCTACTAAGAATGTCCGATCATTGACGCTTTCGGTAGTGTACCGTTCACCTAACCATACTTCTGACCAAGATCTCATGCTCATATCCGAACTGTACCAAGCTAGCGAGAAGAAAGATGTCCTTATCGTTGGGGATTTAAACGTTCCTGGCATTGATTGGCTAACGTGGACTGCACAAGGGCTGCAAGACAGCTTTAATCACAAACTACTACAATGGGCAACGGACAATTTTCTCTGCCAGAATGTTACCTTTGGAACACGGTTTAGGGAAGGACAACAGTCGAACTGCCTTGATCTTCTTTTTTCCCGAGAGGAGGAAAATGTGTTAGACCTGCAGGACCGACAGCCATTAGGGTCAAGCGACCACATCACGCTCTACTTCCAGTACTCACTGTTTTCCAAACCCGTCCAACCCGAGAGGTGGGAGAGGAACATTTGGAAAGGGGACTATTCTCTCATGAGGAGGGAAGCGGCAGCTATATCATGGGAGACTGAACTGCATGGTCGAGCAAACGACAACTGGAATACTTTCAGTTCCTTACTGAAAGAGATTGTTTATTCCAATTGTCCTCTCAGAAAGAAGACAATCACAAACCGCCCAAAATGGATAAACCCGGACTTGAAGGCCTCTTTCAGAAAAAGGAATCGTCTGTGGAGGCGTTACAGACTAACTGGCTCCGACGAACACTTACAGGAATATAAGCGGCAACGAAACGTCTGTAAAAGTGAGGCCTCAAAGCTGCGAAAGAAGTTTGAACTAAACATCCTCCGAAATTCGTTGGAGTATCCGAAAATTCTATATGGTTATATACGAAGTACTAAAAGGACTCAGGAGCTCATCCCTGCCCTCAGGTCTGCAGATGGAAAAGTGGAGATTGATGACCAGGTTAAAGCGTCCCTCCTTTCCGACTTCTTTCAGTCCGTCTTCACCCGAGAACCTAGTGCTATATTTGCCCATCCATCCATTCGCCAACCAACCTCTCCTCCCAGTACCCTTCCCCATCCTATCCCCTCCCTACCCTCCTTAACCGAGGAACCACTCTTTTCATCTACCATAGTTAGGGCCGAGCTACTCTGGCTAAAACCTGCCAAATCGCCTGGCCCAGACAGAATTCCCGCCCTAGCACTTCGTGAACTTGCTAATGAACTGTGCAAACCCTTATCCGCAATATTTCAAAAGTCATTTGAAGACGGCGAGCTCCCGGAAGAATGGAAGTGCGCACTCATTACTCCGATCCATAGAGGAGGCTCAAGACTTGACTGCGGAAA